TAAGTTAATATATAATTATATATACAGTACCTAATTTATATATAATTAATATATAATTATATGTACAGTACCTAATTTATATATAATACTGTACAGACTATAGTAATCTCTCCGTAGCGTGTCGCTTGACGGCGGAAAATAGTTTGGCTGCCCGATGACATTTTACGTAATTATAGGAGTTTTTTACGGATACCGTCGCAATTTTTTCGCCGTATTATAGGAATCGTAATTATAGGAACCCGTCTTAAAGGGGGTCTACTGTAGTTTAAAAAAAATTAATTCAGAAATGAGGAACTAACTACTTGAAATTTACTGATTTTAAATAATGCTTATTATAAAATATTGTTGATAGAAAAGTAAGATGTAAACTATGTGATTTTCAATATTTTATGTGTTATTTGATTGGCCCTGTCACATCACAGGAATTTGCATGGGTCAGAAGACATGATTTGTATGGATGCATACTGTGTTTGATAGAGAAATGGAATAAAAGACAAGAGAAACATTTGATCACATTGGATGAGGATTATGAACTCAGATCACATGTATGTTAATTGAAACCATTCAGTATCAGTAATTAGACTCTCCTGGCCAAATTTAAGACAATAATACAATTCAAGAGAAAGAAGAGAGATGAGTATGGAATCTTTCCTGGATATAAAGTTTAAGTCTTTTGAAGAGAGAGGAAAGGTATTCAAAAGAAGGCAGAATTAAAGTCCTCCATTCTTTCTGTTAAATGAAGTCCTCATGATCACTGTGAAAGAAATCCTTGCCATTTCATTGACTAGGAGTTTTTCTATTGTGTCAGAGACATTTTCACCAAACTATCAGCCAGAGCTATATATTTATGACTGAAGACACCTTGATCCTTAAACCAAATCTCTCCCTTTCTCCCTCTCTTAATTGAATCAGAGTATAAGTATAACCATGTAAATCATGATTAGCAGGAAATCATAAAATATATTGTAACACAATTCAATCAAATCAAAACTCTGGTTTAAGAGTAAGGAAAGTTGGTTTCCTATCTGTTTCTTGATGGTCATGTCCTGACTAATGTAAAAAAATAGGTAAAATTCCTGCTTGTATAAACTGAGTCTGTCAGTATATCTTGATATAAAGTCACTGGTATCATTTTGACATAATCCATGGAAAGATTTAAACTCGTTACAGGACTCCATACTTTTATTTGCTAATGAAGCAATAATTTAAAATTCTGTTAAATATTTGAAGTATTTTTTATATCAATATTGATAGGATTATAATAATTTAATTATATTGTTAATAATTATCATCATCAATAAATTATTAATATTTGAAAGAAGTGTTACATAGGAGAACTATTTCAAAATTATAATTAACTGACTTAGGTTGTTATTGTTTGAAAGAAATATTAGTACATGGTCACTTAAAACATGGTCTATGTTTAAAATAAATCTATTTTGTTCTAGTGTTTTCTATTAATACCTTGAATTAATTGCCTTAGGAAGTTGCAATGTAGAGTAAACAATATAGTTATCAACCATCAGACAGTAATTGGCCATTTTGAATCTAAACTCTAATAAGAGTTTTGTAAAAGCTCTTTTGGAAATATTACATGACAGTATTAATGCTAGAATTTCTGCTCTCAGTAGGTAGTAAAAAATCCCATAGGTTTTTCTATTGTTGTGTGTGGCAAATAACTATCATTTAACCTGTTAAAAACATTTAATGTCACTATATCTGATGTTTTTCCATGCTTTTTTTGTATTAAAATAAAAGGACACATTTAATTGATATTAATGAAATAATTTATATATGCATATTATGTATTTAAATTCGTTTTAATGCTTTTTCTGTCATTTAATATATAAATTTTTCTTATTTCAATCAGATATATTTATTATTTTATGATCATTTCAAGTATATACTAGAATTAATGGGTTAATATTGTTCAACAATATGTAACTTAATTATCATCAGATTATGAGTGTTAGTTATTACATATCTTCTTTACTTTCAACAAAAATTATTTACTTCAATTAACATTTCTGTCCTATCATCTATTTAAATTTAACATATCATTAACAATCAAATACAGAACATTAGAATAATAATTATAAAATGAATATTAAACATTTTTAATATTGATTATTTCTGAGATTGTTTAACTCAAGGTTAGACTTTTTTTATTCTGCTTAAATTAAGGAACTAAATCCAAACAAAATGTAGAAACGAAGCTGTGATTATTTGATTTTGATTAAGTAAATACAGTCGACCCCCCCTATAAGATGGTAGATACGTTCCGTCCTTTATGAATCGATTTCTTACGAGTCCTTGCCAATCACAGCCCGACACGTATGCACTTTACGGACTACAGCTGTTTGAAAAGTTTTCTTCCATAAAATTAATCGATTCTAGATTAATCCGACTCAACATTTCCAAAATACGTATATATTTTTTTGGAAATAATCCGTATAAACTACGCTATAAACAAAAAATTGTAGGATTACTTACCGAGTGTTCACCATTCGACATCGCCATTGCTCAAGCTTGTTTTCGTCGCGGAACAGCTCAGCAAAATGCTGCAAACTGCTGAGCTGTTGATGAGCGGTCATGATTTCTGATGTTATTTTTGTGCGAAAACTTCGTTGAACTTTGGAGACATCATTAATATAAATAATTTTAATCGCCGTTGAATAAGGAATGTTTCTTTCACACGAAATGTATAAAATTACAATACTGTATTAGACTTACTGTACCTAATTTACATACTGTACAGACGATAGTTCGCCTAAACTCTCCATAGTGTGGCGCTAGACAGCGGAAAATATATATATATATAATTATAATAAAGTTACAATAAATTAAGTTAATATATAATTATATATACAGAATATATAATTATATATACAGTACCTAATTTATATATAATTAATATATAATTATATGTACAGTACCTAATTTATATATAATACTGTACAGACTATAGTAATCTCTCCGTAGCGTGTCGCTTGACGGCGGAAAATAGTTTGGCTGCCCGATGACATTTTACGTAATTATAGGAGTTTTTTACGGATACCGTCGCAATTTTTTCGCCGTATTATAGGAATCGTAATTATAGGAACCCGTCTTAAAGGGGGTCTACTGTAGTTTAAAAAAAATTAATTCAGAAATGAGGAACTAACTACTTGAAATTTACTGATTTTAAATAATGCTTATTATAAAATATTGTTGATAGAAAAGTAAGATGTAAACTATGTGATTTTCAATATTTTATGTGTTATTTGATTGGCCCTGTCACATCACAGGAATTTGCATGGGTCAGAAGACATGATTTGTATGGATGCATACTGTGTTTGATAGAGAAATGGAATAAAAGACAAGAGAAACATTTGATCACATTGGATGAGGATTATGAACTCAGATCACATGTATGTTAATTGAAACCATTCAGTATCAGTAATTAGACTCTCCTGGCCAAATTTAAGACAATAATACAATTCAAGAGAAAGAAGAGAGATGAGTATGGAATCTTTCCTGGATATAAAGTTTAAGTCTTTTGAAGAGAGAGGAAAGGTATTCAAAAGAAGGCAGAATTAAAGTCCTCCATTCTTTCTGTTAAATGAAGTCCTCATGATCACTGTGAAAGAAATCCTTGCCATTTCATTGACTAGGAGTTTTTCTATTGTGTCAGAGACATTTTCACCAAACTATCAGCCAGAGCTATATATTTATGACTGAAGACACCTTGATCCTTAAACCAAATCTCTCCCTTTCTCCCTCTCTTAATTGAATCAGAGTATAAGTATAACCATGTAAATCATGATTAGCAGGAAATCATAAAATATATTGTAACACAATTCAATCAAATCAAAACTCTGGTTTAAGAGTAAGGAAAGTTGGTTTCCTATCTGTTTCTTGATGGTCATGTCCTGACTAATGTAAAAAAATAGGTAAAATTCCTGCTTGTATAAACTGAGTCTGTCAGTATATCTTGATATAAAGTCACTGGTATCATTTTGACATAATCCATGGAAAGATTTAAACTCGTTACAGGACTCCATACTTTTATTTGCTAATGAAGCAATAATTTAAAATTCTGTTAAATATTTGAAATATTTTTTATATCAATATTGATAGGATTATAATAATTTAATTATATTGTTAATAATTATCATCATCAATAAATTATTGATAATTTAATGATGTTTATTAATGTACACTTTTTTTGTTTTATAGATGTCCAGATTTTTATGATGAAATAAAAATTAAATTACCAGCTCATCTTAATGATCAGCATCATCTTTTATTTACTTTTTATCATATAAGTTGTCAAAGAAAAATTGAACAAACTCCTATAGAAACACCAATTGGTTATACGGTAACTTAATTGGAATCTCAATTCTAACACACATTAATGTATAGAATTGGGACTTAGTATAAATTTTACTTTATTTTAAAAAAATATTTTAACATTAGTATAATGTTTTTTCATAGTGGCTTCCACTATACAGAGAGGGACAATTACAAACAGGAGAACATTGTTTGCCTGTACTCATGGAAAAACCTCCTCCAAGTTACACTTTTCTTACTCCATCTGTAAGTAAATGTTATAATAATAGCGTTTTAAACAAGCCAAAGTTTTAAACATGAAAATGTGTACGTTGGATGTTCAGCGCCACTTTCCTATAAGCCTAGAAGTTTGACAGTTGTGTTTGGAATGTCGAGCATGATTCCAATGACTATCCAAACACCATTGTCAAACTTCTAGGCTTACAAGAAAGTGGCGCTGAACATCTGACGTACACGTTTTCATGTTTAAAACTTTGGCCTCAACCTTGCTAATAAATCATAAGTTAATACTCATTGTTGGAAAANATTAAAATTCTGTTAAATATTTGAAATATTTTTTATATCAATATTGATAGGATTATAATAATTTAATTATATTGTTAATAATTATCATCATCAATAAATTATTGATAATTTAATGATGTTTATTAATGTACACTTTTTTTGTTTTATAGATGTCCAGATTTTTATGATGAAATAAAAATTAAATTACCAGCTCATCTTAATGATCAGCATCATCTTTTATTTACTTTTTATCATATAAGTTGTCAAAGAAAAATTGAACAAACTCCTATAGAAACACCAATTGGTTATACGGTAACTTAATTGGAATCTCAATTCTAACACACATTAATGTATAGAATTGGGACTTAGTATAAATTTTACTTTATTTTAAAAAAATATTTTAACATTAGTATAATGTTTTTTCATAGTGGCTTCCACTATACAGAGAGGGACAATTACAAACAGGAGAACATTGTTTGCCTGTACTCATGGAAAAACCTCCTCCAAGTTACACTTTTCTTACTCCATCTGTAAGTAAATGTTATAATAATAGCGTTTTAAACAAGCCAAAGTTTTAAACATGAAAATGTGTACGTTGGATGTTCAGTGCCACTTTCCTATAAGCCTAGAAGTTTGACAGTTGTGTTTGGAATGTCGAGCATGATTCCAATGACTATCCAAACACCATTGTCAAACTTCTAGGCTTACAAGAAAGTGGCGCTGAACATCTGACGTACACGTTTTCATGTTTAAAACTTTGGCCTCAACCTTGCTAATAAATCATAAGTTAATACTCATTGTTGGAAAAATATCTATTGCAAATTACAGTTAAAATATATAAAAAGTTGTTGTTTAAAGTTGTACTAGTTGTTAAAAATTGATATATTTTAAAAATCTTAAAAATCATTTTTTAAAATAAATGCTAATTTTTAAATAATAGGTAAAACTGCTTGAAAAGTAAAGGTGTAATTAAAATCAGTTTTTACAAGTATTTTGGTGGTTATTATCAATCTATCCAGTACAGCTTTATGATTGAAATTCAATCAATTACTATTTTGAAATTTGAATACTTATAAATCCATTTCAGTATTTTTAAATTTGGAAAAAATAGTAATAGTTGCATTTAAATAAAGTTTCAAAAATCGTCTAAACAACCAGTTTTGTATTAGCATTATTGTCTGATTAGCAGTAAGATATGGATACATTTTGTTTTATACTGGATATAGTAGGAAAGATAAGATATAGTTAATATCTTAATGATGATATTAATACACTACCCCTTCAATGTTCAGTTTGAGAATTTGATAATTCATGATTGTAACTTTATGCACCAACATTTCAACTTTCATGAAAGGTTTCAACCTTTCAGGAAATGGGAAATTACATACTACTGTAAACTAGATTTGGTGCCTGTGCAAAATAGACGTTTGAGCAGGCACAATGCTAAAAGATCACTATACTCACTTATTCATAGGGCTTATGCTATAAATTATATTACTATTTTGTTTATTTTTTATTGTGCTTAAATAAAACGACTTTTGCAGCATAAAAGCCATTGCACAGCATATTTATTTAATAAAACCATTAATTTTTCTGAAAATTTTTTAAAACAGCAGTAAGCATAACATTTTGGAATGAATTACAAATTTAACATTGAAAATGGAACTCAAAGTTCAAGAATTTCATGTTTGTGAAGGATTACTCAATCCCAATTATTCACGAATATGGGGATGAGTGTACAATACTGTCTTCAGATAATCTTTAGAACTTTTGCTCTTTTTTTAAAAGATGGATTTGAAATTGTTTTTAAATATTTTGTGAAAATTATACTTAATTTTATACATTTAAACAGATAAAGGAACATTAAAAAAGAATACCCTGATTTTAAAAACTTAGTATTCAATTATTATTAAACATATTAAAATGATTCAAGTGTTACAATGTTCCATTTGTTGTCTGACAGATCTTGTGATATCCATTCAATAATGTCTGGAGTTACCATTGTAAAGATTGGTCTGACCCTTCCAATTTCCTGGTCTTCCAGAAATCCAGATCTTACTTTGAGGGGATATATCAAGAACATTGGGCATGCTGAAAAGATTCAAGATCTCCATCACCTGAGATAGGATTGCATCAGCCATTTCAATAGTAACTGTAGACATCATTGAACAGATTTTACATGAGATTTAATACTGTTTTGCTGTCTGCAGGAAACAAATGGAAAACATATCAAAACCTACTAAAATAAGAAAACACTTTGGATATTTCCTAACAATTTAACATGTGAATCATTTTGATTTGTTTAATAGCATTTGAGTCACTTTTTAATATAAAGCTGAATTGAAAGTCACAAGAGAATTTGATGTTGAGATATAGAATAATATATAGGTCAACATAAATACTTTATATATTTCATTTCAAACATATAGAAAATTGATTGTGAAAAACATTTTCAAACGAGTTTATAATTTTTCAGTATTTCTTTTTGGTTGTATTGAATTGTATTTCATTTAAGAAATGTTAAGTTGTACATGATGATGTTTTAATGTACTGTACTTGTTATCTTCTGTAATACATTAGAATTTCCAAGATTTTAAAAAATTGAAGACTAAATACAATAAAAAAATATTGATATCTTCACACATCATTCACAACCACAGGAACACAATTAACACAAGCTCTTCTCTTGTTACAAATATGTGACTTGATTAAAAGTCCCTCTGGTACTGGATTCTTGTAAAAATATTTCTCGAAAGTTTTTTTAAAAATCCAGGATAAAATATATTTAAAAAATTGAAGACTGAATAACTTCAAAGGTAAGGTCATTTCTGCTCATGTTAATTGTGTTCCTGTGGTTGTGAAGGATGTATGAAGACATAAAACTTTTCAAGATGTTTCTTAAATGCATTTTCAGTAGAAATAATGCTACAAAGAAAACTACTGAGACATATTTGTTATAAAATTTCAGGTATATACAATATAAAATATTTTATTGAATACAGTAGAGTCCCAGAAACTTGACTCTCAATATTCTGTAAAACTTGTTGGGTGTTGGGTTACTTAAAAAATAATAATAATACATGTAATCTAATGTTTACCTCTATAACTTACTACTAGGATCAAATACGTTATCATTCTTCATTGGTGACACTTGATAATATTATCAATTCAATATGTTAACAAAGAATATAACCCTTTTTCCAAGATTTTACGATGCAAATATCACTAACTTGAAAGTATCCACCAACTAGCCAATATTTTTAAAATTAAAATTTAACCAGAAATAGTATGTTGTTAATACAGACATATGAATTTCCACTTATAATACCATTACAAAAATTCCACTATTTAGACTAGCATCATCTCTATATGAAAGTTTTTTATATACTTTCAGATTCAAATACCAAATATGAAATGGGTTGATAATCATAAAGGAGTGTTTACTGTTGTAGTTGAAGCTGTATCATCTGTTTTTACATTGGTAAATATCAGACATTTAGTCAAGAAAATATGAAAGTTTTAAAAATACATTATTATTTAAATTAAAATTACTGTTTCAGGATCCTTTTCTGGATAAATTTTTATATTTATGTACCATGATTGACAAAGGAAATGTCCCTCGTGTTGAAGAAGTTACAATTGAACATGAACTAAAGACAAGTATTTTGGAAATAACAGAAGCAAAATTAGAGCCTCTTGTCAAGTTTTTACCATTGTTGATGGATAAATTAATTCGATTACTTGTTCGACCTCCTGTTGTGGCTGGCCAAGTTATGAACATTGGTCAGACAGCATTTGAAGCCATGGCTATGATTGTTTGTAATATTACGGTAAATATTTTATATTAATTTTAATTAATCTTTGTATGAAAACTCTTTAATAAAGAAAATTTTTGCTAATCTTTAATTATTTTATAATTAAGAATCTTTTAGAAATACAGAATGATCAACATGGAAGAAATAGTTTATTAGCCACATATGTTCATTATCAGTGTACCTTGCCACATCCTGATGCTTATTCTATTAGTTCGCCAAGTAATAACTGTACGTCATATGCATTTGGTACAGACTATAGTACATTGGGAAGGCCAATATCAATGCCAGTTCAAGTAAGTATTTTATATTAATTTGCTTAATAACAAATGAATAATTTAGTATTAAATTTATAAATGTTAGATTTTAATTTTTTAACATAAATGGATTCAATTTTATTCAGTTGTTAATTTAATCATATTTTTTATAAATTCATTAATATATAATTTAATTTTTCTTATTTTTTGTTATTGAATTTTAAAAATATGAATGATAATTAACTTCTCCATGATGATTCTCAAATGACTTAATAAGCAATATCACAAAACATATTTTTTTAAACTTTTTCAATAATTTATTTGGGTTTTCTCAGAGAATTTGAATAAATTAGATTCAGGTCCTAAGATATATGCTTTTAGTTTGTTAATTTATTAAATAGTAGTAAATAACCATATGAGCTTGCTGGCTTTATTGTTATAATTATCAAACTTGTCACTCATCTTTCCAATTTCTTTAATTAACTCTTAATATCCCAGAATGCATTCAGCTTTTTTACTAGCCCTCTTCAACTGCATTTCAGCAAGAGAGGACTGTTAAAAAAGCTGAATGCATTCCGGGATATTGAGCATTAATTAAAGAAATTGGAAACGTGTGTGATAAGTTTGCAAATTATTGAATTATTGTATATTGTACAGCATTATGTAAATTTTTAATTTTTTTTTATATCTTTTTTTGTCTACTTTTATAATCTGTATTAAATTTTTACCATGATACTCTAATAACAGTTTTGTTTGTCAATTTTCTTATCATCATCTAGTTGATCACCTTATTTATGTGGCCAGAAATCATATACCTTGAGGTTAACCACATAACTGAGGTTTTATTTTATATAGAAATTGTTTACTACATTATTTTTATTTTTAAAATGATTTTTGTTTAATTACACTTATGTTTATTGAAAGTTCTTTTAAATTATATAAATTTTTCATTGATTTTTACATTTTGTGTCAATATATTATTAACTATTATAATATGCATGCTTAACCAATTAGGATATTAGGATAGGATATTAAGACAACACTTTTTTAAAATATATTTTTTTAAGAGTAGATCATAAATATATAAAATAATTTTATAATTAAATATTTTCTCTTTTAGAGGTCATATTACGGACGAAGTAACAGTAATCCAGATATTATGACTTATGTTGATGCAGACGGTGAAGTTAGTGGAATTATGAATAGAGGTCTTGATCGAACTTCTAGTATGAGAACAGCAAGTGGTCAGGATGGTACATTATATTTAATAACAAAATCACATACACGTAAAATAGTTCATGAGGAATTAGCATTGCAATGGGTGGTATCAAGTGGTGCTGCAAGAGAACTTGCTCTCACAAATGCTTGGTTTTTCTTTGAATTAATGATAAAAAGTATGTGTGAGCATTTAGCAACAACAGGCAGATTAGATGTGCCCAGAAAAATGAGATTTAATGAACAATTTTCAGATGATCTTACAACACTGGTAAGATTCTTTCCCAGATATATATAATAAATTAATACTAATATTTTTATTAAAGTAAATTTTATTTAACAAAACTAATGGAATAAATTAAAATTTATCTGTTGCTATATTATAGTATTTGATTTATATAACTATAAAGGTTATCTTATGTAAGCATTTATCACACTAAGTGACTGATCTAACACATTTTACAAATCCTTTAAATTGTATAGCACAATAAATAACTTTTAAAATGTGTTAGATTGGATACTTGGTGTGATAAACCCTTATGTAAGATAACATTTGCAGTTATATAAATCAAATATTATGATATAAGAAATATTAAAATGAAAACCATATAAAGAGTTTGATTATTTTAGCCTACCATTGTCATGTTTAGCGCAATACTTGGATGGTATGAAATGGCACGATTTCATGGTCAAGTAGATACCAATTGAAAATATGTTATCTTAAATTTTTTAAGATATCATATTTTTTTTCTAATGTTAGCGCTAACAAACTGTTTCATTCACAGCTGAATATCAAATGGTAATCTGCCAACAAATCAGAGTTTGCAAAAAATGGACCAAATATTTAAACCCTGCAACTTTGAAAACCACTTAAATCATATTCTGTGCAGACTGGTAACTTCATATTACATAATTTTCCTATTCAAATGCCACCATAATGTGAAGAAAAGACTGTTGCTGACAGAGGTTGAAGTTAATTTGACCAAAAGAGTCACTGACCTCCTCTTGGAAGAGAGGATGATTAACAACTACTACTTCATATCAGTCTACTATTAATATATGAAAAGTGATCCATGTTGGATAGGTTGTGATGGTCCTGCACATGATCAAAGTTGATAACCTTAACATTTGAAAGACTTCATATAAGACTTGTTTAAATAAATAAAAAAATCTCATAAAAATGCAAGAATAATTGCTTTTATGTGATCCTGGTGAAACCAGGTTGAAAAAGTACAGCTCAAGCAAAAACATCCAAGTAAAAGAAACTTTTGAAAGTTGTGGCATAAGCATACTGGAAGCAGATTTGGTAGTAAGATTCAACATGTGAATAAAGTACACATTACACAGACTACAACTATAGGAAATTCTGAATAGGTATTTTGAATGAAGCAATGTTGCTATGATAATAAATAGGAAAAATAAATATTGGCACAGAAAAAGACTTCTAGTTCTACTTTGTGCATTAAAATCGTTGCCTGTACAGTACATTAATTTGGCTGAATGTTAGAATATCTTAAGCAGTATCAGTGAAAGAAGTTTAGGGCAATGGGTTTATGAGTTATTAAGGAGAGATGAAATCAGGAGAAGGAAAACTAGGATGTCCAGGTTTCCTGGTAGGTAAGCATGTCCTCATAATATTGCATTTTATAGAAAAATTATTAGACTTGGTTTGGTTTATTTGGTTACAGTAACACACATGTGTGAGTGATCATCATCCCAGAAAGACTTTTATGTAAAGCTGGCAATTTAAGTGTTACTAATGCAAAGAAAACTCTGCATAGCCAGTCAGTTGGCAATGTGTGAACCCTCGACTGACTACAGGTGTTTGATGGTTTTATGCACTCTATTACTGGAAGGTATTTATTGCGCTGCAATTTGAAAAAATTGTAGAACTATAAATTAGCACTGTCATCTGTCTGCAATCTGTCATTCCTTAATCTTGAGAATGGAGTTAGATAAATGAAAGCTGAGACCAGACAGGGAAATTGCAAGAGAAAGAGAACAAGATTAATTATGTATGAATTTCTGATTTGTATTGCAAGTCACATTACTCCAATTCAAAAATTTTCCTATGAACAGAGCAGCACAAATGAATAAATGACTAGCACAACTCTATTGCTAACAGGAAAAGTAGGATGTACATGGGCAAAACAGTACTACATTTCATGCAGGCAAGTGCTATTTGCTACCTGTCGCAGTAATGGCACATATATTTCGTGCTATATCATTGTCACATTAATTCAATGAACATAATATATATTTTTAAAAATTATATCCTTTTTTTGTAAGAATTATATTTAGTTAATTATTTTGTTAAATTTTTTCCAATACATGGTGCTACATGTAAAGCCAGCAATCAAATGTAGAGAGAAATTAATCGATATATTGAAATCCAATTGATAATTTTGGGTGGGATGTACAACATTATCTAAGTTTGAAACATATAAACATCACTGCCAAGTTTCATAATAATTGGTCAAACAGCCAAGGCGTGTATAGCAAACAGACCAAACCAAACCAACAACCTCATTTATATATAAAGTAATACCCCGAACTTACGCGATAGGTGGGACTGAGCAATAACCGCGTAAGTCGAATTCGCATAAGTCGGGGTATAATTTCGCAATTTGTGTAAAATCCAAATCGGTGTATGTAAGCTAATAAATGTTCTCGTTAATCTTACCTCGTCTTTTGATTCGTTCACAGTTACAAGAAATCACCACATAAAGTCTCTCGAGTCTCCGTAGATATAATAAACACAGAAATAAATAACACAAAATAAATTGTAGTTATGTGTCGATTCCGCACGACACATCTGAGCATGTAAGATGAACAATAGTGTGAGGGGAGTGAGTAATCGAGAGTGGTGTGGCGCTCAAACAAAAGACGAATCAACGAGATTTGAAAATCGCGTAACTCCGGGTTCGCGTAAGTCGAGGTATTACTGTATAGATAAATGGAAATAAACTTTTATATTCTAAAAGTATATAAAGTTTAAAAGTTTCATATTATAAAAGTTTATTGACAATAAAATAAGTTTATCTTTTCGTAAAGAATTGTTTTAAAAATCTACATGAATAAACTATGGACTTTTAGGAATCAGTCTGATTATTCTAACCTGGAGATTGTGGACAGATGGCTGAGTGGTTAAAAGTGACAGCCATCTGGGGGACTCAGGATTGAATCTGGACAGGTCAAAAAACTCCAGGAGTTTTGGTCTGTCCAGATATGTTGAGGTCCTGTCCCTCATACCCAAAATGAGTTTGCTAAAAAAAGGGGGGCCTCTTAGTGTTCTCAGGGAATAAAGGGTTTAAAAAATCTAGAGATTATTATACAGAATTTTATTATTTTTTTGTGACAAAGTAGAAAATTTATAAACGCTATAAAGCAACAAAAATTTTGCTTTTAGTTCTTGTTCGTTTATTCAGTTTGATAGAACTATTTATAAATATAAGTTGTAATTATATTACTAAACATCACGGCTTAAAACTTCACGACGTAAATTGGACATCGATTTTGCATTGAACTAATGTATTATATGGGAGATAAGTTCCAGACCAAATAAAAAATTAGAATTTATGTGGAATTGTATAGGCATTTGAATAGACTTCACTGTTTATATTATATACATTTTTATTTTATTATATATTTTCTAAAATTATGATTTCCAACACAATACAGTACAATACTTTATAAGTGACAATAATGACTATACATAGAGTTTCTACAATATTATTTGTCAAATTAAATATTTAATACAGACTTATTGTACTTAGGTTTTGTTGTATGCTATATATATATATATATAGTAAAATCTCGCTTTCCATTTACCTACCTTATGTCATAAAATTTTCCTGTAAAACTGCACAAGTTTTAATTTAAATCAAACTTTATCTTGGGGCCATTGGCCACCTTACTGAAGTGACTAAGATAGAAGCACCCTAAAGTGACGTTTATCCCCATTTACGTGGCCAACAGAACAGGAAAATCCCGCGTTCCTAAATTCAACCTATTGTTTGAAGCACTTTAAACAGAATTGAGCTTTATTGCTACAGTTTTGAAACAGTCTGCTGAGATCTGTATTAAATATTTAACAGGATTCAATACAGTAGTCTAATTACAATTCTCTGTACTAATTTTTTTCTTAACTCCATTTAAGTGACCGTCTCACTTATGTGAACAGAAATTGTATATTTCCAAGATGGCTATATAAATGAGATTTACTATATATACGTATATGTAACTGAGGTGAATTATATATACATATTCACCCATACACACATCTGTAAATATGCTATGTATATATAGTTATAAATTTAAATACAGATGATGATGAAGAGAATGCTTGTAAGAAATATTCATGTACTGTTTATCCCTTGTTGAAACGACGTAAATGTGGATATATTTTATGTATATCGAGTTTGCCATCTCTAATTAATCAACGACGTATATACGAAGCAATTAATCCGCACGACGTATATCGAGGACACTCTGCACAGAGATTTAGAAACAATTACAAAAGCAAATGTATTTCCAAATTAATTTTCAATAACTATTTAAAATATAAAATATGTATTTCATTAGGAATTCGCGTATCATTTTGATAAAGGAAATAAACTTTGACGAACACTACAAAATTACATTGGTTTAATTTGAATGAATTGTAAAGCTATAAATTTGCACTGTCTGTCCTTCTTTAATCTCGAGAACGGAGTTAGCTAGGTGAAAGCCTAGACCAGATTGGAAAGCCTAAGGGCAGGAGGCCCCGATTAACTCTATGTGAACTTCCGATTAAAACCGGATGTCACGTTATTTTAATTCAAAAATTCTTCCCTGAAAGAAGTTAAATAGATGACCGGCTCGACTCTATTTCTAGCAGGAAAGTATGATTTACTGTACAGAGACAAGACACTACTAATTTTAAGTGGAGAGCATATATTTAAAATTATTTTTCGATACGTTTCTATAAGTGAATACAGACATTATTAACCGAAATTGTTTTGGAATGAATAATTATAATTCAAAATATTAATAGATAAGTAAACATTGCAGATTTCATTACTATTAAATTGCAGAGTTTGGTCGTAATAAGTTACTATAGTTGCAAACATGAAGCTTTCTTTTTATTGTTTGAATTCGGCTATTAAAATATATATACTATATTTATTTATATTTTTATAGCTGTGTTTAGATAATATAACGATTTAATTTCTATTCTGTATATTTTATAACATCTGCCAAAGTAGGAATTAAATATTTAAATATAAATATAAAAATTAATTGAATAATATTATTATGTATACTTAGATATATAATATAGTGCAGGAAACGAATCCAGAAAAAATATATAAAATAATAATAAATAGAGCGTGGGTTTATTGTTTGGTTTACCATTGGTAAAATTAAAAACATCATCACGTAAATAAATGGAAAGAATTGATCAATCCCATTTTTAATTTTAGATTAGTATAATTATGTATTTAATAGCATACTTTATTTATAAAATTGCTACAATAATGTATTTGTTGAGATAATTTTAAAGATTAATTAATGTATTATATCAC